TAATCTTGAATGATGATTTAATGTTGACTGAAACATATATAACTTCTATTGTAATGAGAGTTTAAAAGCAATAAGAAAATCCTGTATTATTATTGATGTGATTAAAAACCAAAGTAATCCTTACTTTAAAAATGTACTATTGATTAAGGTGATGAGTTATGTGAGCTTGATTTAAGAAGTAAATGGAAAATAAATCATAAATGAGTGTTCTGGTTCAAGTTGGATGGAAAGTCCCGTACTGTGTTGCAATCAGAGGCTGCATAAGAAGGAGAGCTGTGAGCACAGAAGAAACAGGAAGTGAAATTTTTAGGAGCACCAGATGTGGAGTGCGGATAGAAACTTCAGCAGGCGTAAAAGGGGAAAGAGGCAACGGTTGACCAAGACGTTTGACGTCAAGGAAAGTTGTGCAATAGGAGATTGTGCGAGCAGTTAGTGCATGCATAAATAAGATACAGAAGTGTAGAAAATTGTGTAAGCTGCAGATACGCACGTAACAGACAGCAGAGGATATAAAAATACAAGCGAGAAAGGGACAGGCGTTCTTCGTTCCGCAGTGCTCCAGTCAAGACCACACGAGGATGCAGGATCAGATAAGGGCTACGTTTTGAAACCATGGGAAGACGAAGACTTCGCACTGCTCGAGAAAGGAACAAGATCCGTTTACCCACAACCCGGGGTTCTAATTTGACATCTTCCCTACACTCAACCCAAGAAACATCTCAGAGATGCTGCAGTAGACAGGGAGGATAGACAAAGATCGCCTATGGATATGGAACTGAGCTCATCGAGGATACTCACCAGTTCGACTTTGGACTTATTCTAAAAAGGATTCTGCCAGGACAAGACAGATTCCAACCATGGATGTTTAAGTTTCTGCTGCCAAGACCAACTCGGCATCTGGGGACGAGTGGAATTACATCCCAAAGCCTCTCTTATAGTTCTGCGACACAGTATAGGGACTTGAGTTGAATAGCTGTATGTCATTTCCCCTGCTAAAGCTTGCTAATAAAATATTAAAGTCTAACTTGATGTTGTGGACAGTTAAATTGAGTCATCTAAATATTAATCCTTCTGATTGACATAAAATTGATGTTTATGATCCTAGTAAACAAGGGGGCTTCAGACGTTTCTTTAGTTATGTTAAATAATGACCCTGGGACTCAGTCCGAGTCTCTAAAATTATCTAAGCTGTAACAAGTGCACGTTATTAATAGAGAAAGAGCTACCGTTAACAGGTGTGGTTTATGCTGTCGGGCATCGGCGGGCTACTCCGATGTCTGATTCATAAACTGAAGTGGGTCATAACGTCTGGATCTGAAGGTAGTTAGAGCTTAGACGCATCTTTCTCGCGCCCAGCTTAAACAAAATGTCCTCTACATTTGTATCTGTGGTAATACTCAAGAATTAGAGGCTTTTCGGACCCGTTAGTTGGAGAGCTGGTCAGTAGTCAGTCCGCTGGAGTCTGGGAGGTGTTAGGGTCGTGGCTGAATACTGTGTAATAACAAAACTTAAGCAATCAAACAGGAGTCCAGAGTAAACAAACATGACCGACTGAGAAGAAGTAATGGCGATAATATGTGGACTATAATTAAAAAATATAAACACATATAAAATGTCCACCAGATTTTCTGGTGTGCCATAGCAGTTGTTTGTCTTATGTCTATTTAGGTTCCGCTCACCAGTTACGTCACATACAAGGGGCTGCCTTCATATTTGTCCTCAAAGACAAACTGAAAAATCAGACAAGACAATCCACCATGTCCAGTATCCCTGATTTTAGATCAGAGTGGTCCCTCAGTCCTTCCAAGTGGACCACATAATTCTTGGCACACAACACACAGCAGGAATTTTGCTTAAGATTATCTTAAGAGTCGTACGGTCATCCTTAAGGTTGTCAGAAGGGGAAAATCAGGCCAAAATGTAACATAAAAATAATGCCACTATATGACCCTAGATCAGGTAGAAGATGATGGCTGAAGCACCTAACCCCTATGAATATCAGAAATCCACTATATTAAACTTTTGTCTTATCAGGTCATGTATTTGACCAGGTGAATGAACTGTTGTTTGTGCTCACAGTTATTGTGATATTAATGATATCACAATAACTATTTCTGCTAAACACTACATGCATTTAATGTTTATTTTCTCTCCCTACGATTTGCTGTAGATATTGTTTGAAAGGCTCTATGCGATAAATTAACTCGCTTTGCAAATTTGGACTTTATTTTGAGAGCGTGACCGAGGAAAAATTGCTTTTCTTATCTCAGCTTGAGTTGGTGCTCATAAACCTTCAACACAACCAAATGTTCAAATCAACACCCAGGTTTTATAGTCTGAAGGAACTCACTCACATATTTACCTGAGAGGGCTGGGCGTCTTTGGCCTCTTTCCCTTGTAGTTTGGGTGATCGTGGAAAAGGCTGAACAGGCTCATCACTGCTGGAGTCCAGAGGAGTGAAGCTCGCTCCATCCTGCAGCAAGCCAGATAGGCCAGCAGAGGGAGCCAAAAGCTCACCTTGAATTGCCTGAACTGGCTGTCCATTACTGACACCATCCATCCCTGCTTTGTTTTCAGCCATTTCTCATTTCGCAGCTAGTTGAAAATTAACCAAAATATGTCAAAAATGTTAAATTCATATTTTGATTATGTTAATGTTAATATTAATATGTTAGTATTTTCTTGTTTAAAACATTCCTGCTGATAGAATAACATTCAGTGGTTCTGTTATGTGTGCACTCCCTAGAACACAGGCAGGCCCGGACGAGCCTAGACGGGTTCCATGAAGCATCAGAACTATTTGTGTGTGTTTCAGATATGCTCAGTTCTACAGTCAGGACGAGTTCTGTCATTACAACATGTTTAACCATCACTTCTTTGGCGGAGAGGTAAGAGTTGGATTTGCAGATCCAGCTTAAGGCAGTTTTCAGCTCTGAGTGATGGAGTGTTGTCCTTTCAGGCCTCCAGAGCTGTTTTGGATGCATTCTTGACAGAGGCGGACGGGGAGCAGGTGGTGATGGTAGCGGACCCTCCATTCGGCGGACTGGTCAAACCTCTGGCCAACAGTTTCTCCTTGATATCCCAAACGTGGAGGAAGCTGCGGAACTCTGGTTAGCAGTTTTTTAGTTCCTTGCCACATGTATTACTGACAGATTTGTTTGCTTCAAACCTCCTCAAAATAACAGAGACATCAATAAATGACAATTCTGTGAATATTCAAAATTCCAAAATACTATTGATCCCAAAGGCATTAAAAATTGTTGTAAATCATTAATTCAGATTCTTCAAAGAGTTATTGTAGATAGTGATGGCTGTTGGCTGGAAAGATCTCCTGTAGTGATCTGCATAACAGTGAATTTGAAGAGTCCTCTGACTGAAGACACTGAGTTTTTCCAAGACAACCTCATGGAGAGGATGGTCCTGTGTCCATAATTTTACAGGCATTAGTCTACTGAATATTGACTAATTTCTGATCTAATGCCTACAGAAAGAGGAAAAGTTGCTTTAACCCCTCATGCCTTGAAATGTCATTCAGCAATGATATGGATGTTGTTTGCCAGACTCGGTCTGATTTAAATGCAGGAACTCCTGTGTTGAACTCTGACCTCTATGTGTTCAGGTGACTCTAACATTGACATTCCCATCATTTGGATCTTTCCGTACTTCTTTGAGCCTCGCATCCTGGAGTGTCTCCCTGCACTGACCATGTTGGACTACCAGGTACCAGCTTATTGAAAAATACACCTCTTCATTCCCAGGAGATGTTTTTAATGTTATCCTGTACCTGAAGTAAAACAGCTCCCCCCGCCCCCCTAATATTTATGAGCTTTAGGGACCACAGCCGCCTTCGAATAGCTAATATATGCAAATACTTGAGACTCCCTCTAAAGCCAGTCGTAATTACCGTTTTATTAGTTTAGACACCAAATATACCTATGTGCATTAATACGCACAGTGGAAAACATTTTAGCACTAACACTAAAGATAACTTCCACAGCTTTCCTTATCTCCGCTACTGGATCTACAGCCAATCGGCACCAAGGAAAATGTTGGCGCTCTTGGCTTGGCTGCTTTGCAAATTGCAGCCAATAGATTGTCATGTAGTTTGCTCCCAGGTATTTCAGCTTCTTTGGCTGCATTTTCTTTCATATATTTTAGGTACACTCTGTGAAATACTCTGGAAATCTTCCACAAATAATCTGGAGTCACATTCCACAGAGAAGCCTGCAAATACTGNANTTNAAATAGGCAGGAGTCTACTGTACTCGGTATATGTCTATAAACTAGGGGTGCACCAAATGCAATTTTCTGGCCGATCACCAATATTTGAAAAGCCTGAGTTGAAAAGTTACTAAGTTAGCAATAGTGAGGCAACTATTGTTAACCATGCTTATGCAGACTTGACTTAGAGGGCAAGTCAGTCAGTTAGGCATCACTACAGAGCAAAGAGGGAGAGTGGCTGATTTTTTACGACCTTTGTGAAGGAACATACCATCGGTTTCTCATGCAAGTATCAGCTTATTGCTGATCTGCCAAAATAATGGAGATCCATGGATAGGCAGTAAGATGCTGCAACTACACTGGAATTGGTGTAGGAGGTCGGTCCGTGTATTCTCAGGCAGTTTGTTTTTTCGTTTGAAATGCAAAATGAAAAAACAAAAATAGACTATAACCACGGAAGAAGATTTTAGGATTCCATAACATTTAGCTAACACCAGCATTATTATTTCTGTAGATTAAAGTCAGAATTCTGACTTTTTTCCATGGCTCTAATCCTCTTCCTAGATAATTATTTATTTAGTTAAGCTTTTAATAATCTCATAACATTGGCACATTATTTCAAACTTTTCCTACTTGGTAGATATGGGAAATGGCTACATTTTTATTGTATCTTTTGGATAATCATACTTTTCTCCATCCATGTTCGTGACATAACATTTTATAATCGGTAAATGTGCAGCAAAAAATAGTGGTGGTAGAGGGCCGCACTGGGTTCAACTCGGGGAATGTTGTCTGTCTGACGCCAGTTTCAAACCAACTCCAGGTCACTTCTTTGTTCAGTCAATGATTGGTTTATTCCATTTTAGATTTTCTTGCTTTGAACGTTGAGACAAGGACTGAGACACAGACTGACCAGGCCAATAATGCATAAGAGCTAACATAATTCGATAAGACAACATAACACGGTCAACAGAAATTATGGCGACCCCATGCACCCAACTTCCTGATGCACACGAAGGCAGCGCGCCAGTAACCTGCCATTCATACCTGGTGACGGTCACGTCCACATCGACACACCCACCACCTAAGTGACAAAGCCACGTGCTCACCTGTCACGTACATAAATACTTATTTTATTCACATGGATCTTACAACTGCTATGCTAATGCTATTGATAAAGGAAAAACTTAAACTGTATGCTTTGAATGACTGTCAGAATGTCCTAGTCGCAGTTTGAGCGTCTTGAATTGTGGTTTTTAAACTAGAGTAGATTAAAGACTCTCAAGGTTGTAAAAAATTGGGTGGACTAGCCCTTTAACCATTTACTGAATCAGAAGCTACATTCAGAAGCCAACTTTAGCTCTGAATACAAAACAAAGTTAGAATATAAGTTCTGTGAAGGTATCATGATGAAATTAATTATACTTGTATTAATTGCCCCTTTGGACAAGTGTACAAAGTGTGCAGGTCAGAGAGAACTTCCGGGTCAGACCGCTTGTCAAAAATGAAATCATAAAAATTGAAATTCAGCGCTCGTTATCCGCTTTTTCCATTTCCGTTTTGTGCACTAAATGAGAAATCGGATAAACTAGCCAAGCTGATTTTCAATTTTGGTCTGATAAACGAAAAATGAAAGAGTCTATTTTTGTTTTTTCATTTCAAACGGAAAAAATGGAAAATACACAGACCGAAGTCCTTTAAAAGTACAGTTATTATCATCTGTTCCTGTATCGAATCGTCACACTTGCTCCCCTCTTAGCTGACACAGCTTTCGATGCTTGGGTTCTAAAAGGAATACATTTATTATATGATCTCTATCTAGACAATAAGTTTGCCTCACATGAACAGCTGGTACAGAAATTTGATATCCACATATCACAGTTCTTTAGGCATTTGCTTTTGAGACATTTTGCTATCTTAAACTGAGTGCTTTCCTTTCACTTCCCTTGTGGATAAGATTCTGGAGTGTAGGTCCGACACAAAATGTTTAGAATTTATTCATTGCTCAGTTCATTCAATAACACCAACCTGGATTTTTTGAAATACAGATGGCAGATGGACGTTTAGGAATCCATATCAGACTCAGTTTGGCAAAAGGTTTTTTGAAATATTTATTCTTCCTCAATATATCCGAGGCATATTATTGTTCAATTTTAGGTAGTACATTGTCTATATTGGTCCAAAGACACATTATACATTTAGAAAGAACTTGGATCCAACATCTGATCGATGCAAATAAACACCAGCCACACTTTTACACATTTTGGACTTGTCCAAAGCTATATGGGTACTGGTAGTCTGTTTTTGACACTTTCTCAGGAATATTTGGACAAACTGTACATCTTTCACCACCGATGTTCCTTCTAATTCTTCATGTGTCTGGGCATACACACAAGCTCCCTGAGTATACTGAGGACCACTGTGAGCAACGTCAGGTGTGCGCACTATGGCCACACACCAGTATTACACTTGTTATAAATCTGGGGTCATAGAAAGTTACATGGCTTATTAAAAGAATCAGATTACAGCAGCAACTTCCATTAGTTTGCTTTTAATATAAGTGATTTGCCCCACTTAAGATGAAAAAACAAAAACACTGCTGTTCATGAGATGCGTAGTATGTTATATGTAAGAGTCCTGCTTTGGCCATGGTGAGAAATGAGACATTACACCTTTCAGACATAACTTTTTGTTCACATTAAAACATTCACATTCTGCACAATGAACTGTGTGTCTAGCTTGTGATACTGTATAAATTCTTGTCTGTAAAATATTTAATTACACAGTTTTTTCACATCTGTCTTTCTCACTTCTCCAATGGTTGTACACTTTGTCCAGTGTAGAAATGTCTGCTGATCCATAGTCAAAACTGATGTCTGAGCTCAGTGCTTCAATGTCAAATGCTGACACTCCTTTAATTCATCATTTGGAAAACGAGCATCCATGTGACCACACAGCTTACTAGCAAAAAGATTAATCTCACCAGTATTTCTCCTCCGACAGCCATCCATCCATCCATTTTCCTTGTCCCTACCCTTGTCCCTAGTGGGGTCGGGAGGGTTGCTGGTACCTATCTCCAGCTAACGTTCCGGGCGAGAGGCTGGGTCACCCTGGACAGGTCGCCAGTCTGTTGCAGGGCAACACAGAGACAGACAGGACACACAACCATGCACACACAATTTGAAGAGGCCAGTTAACCTGACAGTCATGTTTTTAGACTGTGGGAGGAACCCGGAGTACCCAGAGAGAACCCACCATGCACAGGGAGAACACCCTAAACTCCATGCAGAAAGACCCCTGGCCGGGAATCGAAATCAGAACCTTCTTGCTGCAAGGCAACAGCTCTACCAACTGGCCACTGTGCAGCCCTCTCCGACAGCCATTCCATCTTATAAGAAGCACATTTCTTTTTTACTTTGGTTGATGAGTGGATGTCCCACTGCCCGTTCACTTAGCCATGATAGGGTGTTAGCTTTCATGTCTCTTAACTCCGCCACACTGTTCCTACCTAGCTATTCTGCATGGTGCCACAGTGCATATGACCAAGGCACGTACACACAATAGCATGCGATGATTGGCTGCGTAGCGAAAGTGAACTGTATCGTATCATTGGCTGGACACCAGTGACTCACTGAGTTAGATCGTTATGTGTTATTGGTCCATAGTCAAAACTGATGTCTGAGCTCAATGTTCAGTTTATTTGGATTTTATTTTATGCGCTACGTAGATTTTATTTTGCGCTGAGAATGTACGAGCAGTGCACGATTGTGCAAGCACACAGCTTGGAGGGAACATTGGTCACCACCCATCGTGTCTCTTTGGGGTGGCCCTAGCAGATGCTTCCCTCAGCAAACATCAGAAGACTATGTTAGCTTTATGCTTTCTACTCATTCAGTCTTGGACTCATTCTTTGTAGATGGAAGGATCCACATCCTCTAGTAAATGGTCACTAGTTAAAGGAGGTTATGTGTTACATTCACTTGGAGAAGATTAGTTATACAGTCAGATGATATGTTCAATTCTATGACATCTGGCAGCCATTTATATCTTATGTTGAAGTTATTTCAGCAGATACAACCAACATCTGACCATTACACAAATGTATCATTTATGCACAAACCTGAAACTTGCATTGGTTGTTTTATGAGCACAAGCCGGGTACATATCGGGGTAATAGATCCGGTGTAGAAGGGATTTCTGTAGTGTGTGTGTCTTTGCTATTGTTTTGTGTTGTTTACATAAAAAACAATAAAAAGACTTTGACAAAAAAAATTAGGGCAGATTTATTGGTGCACCCCTTTCTTTCTACCCTGTCAATACAGGGTACAAATGATACAAAACCATTTAAAGTCCAGTTTTGATCTGCTTGATTGGTTCAATCTTGGGTTGCAGGTTATTAAAGGTGTCTTTGAACCAGTCTCTTCTTGAACAGTGTTCATGAAGTCATGGAGATGACTTCATGAACAGTCATGTTCATGAAGAGAACATGACTGTTTGTCAAACCATGTTTGATAAACACATTGCAGAAGGAAGCTGAAGTGATAGACCAAGTAACAAACAAGTTACAATGTCATTTTTCTTCCTTGACACATGAACTTTACTATTGGTCTTCTTGTGTACAGCTCTCTATGATTGCTTTAAGTCATAGTTGCTGGACAGCATTAATCTGTCATTTGACGAAATGATTGAAATGGAAGTCACAAGTCAAACACCCAGAAAGACTGGCTGGATTAGATGTAATCTGGAGGTTCAGGGAGATGTGGTATCCTGAGTAGAGTAGATGCTGATGGGGCATTCATCAAAGTTTTTTGGATTCTAACTGTATTATTTTTTATTTTTTTTAACAAGGTGGACTATGACAACCATCCTCTCTATAAACACGGGAAGACGGGCAGGAGGCAGTCTCCTGTCAGACTCTTTACTAATATTCTACCCAAACACATTGTTCTGCCCAGAGAGGAGGGCTACAGGTATTGACTTGTCATTGACTCCTAATACAAAAGAGTTCCGTTTTGCATATGCCGTTGAAACGAGACGTTTACATACACTTGTCAAAACTATTTCTGTTTGCTTAATTCAACAATAAGAGACAGAATATTTCAGAGATTTATTTTTTAATGTTTTCAAAATCAGAAGTTTACATACAGAATGCTTACTATCTCTCCAAACAATGAGAAGAAAGGACAATGATGTTGTGACTTTGGAAACTAACCCAACCCCTGGAACTCACTGCTTTCTGGTTTGACACGATGGGGAAAGTCAAAAGAAATCAGCCACGGTATCAGGAAGAGAATTAGCTACACTAGTCCAGTTCATCCATGGGAACAATTCACCGATGGTTGAAAGACTGGAGCCACGTTCATCTCTTCAAACAATTATATGCAAGTATAGACGTGATGGGAATGTCCAACCATCATACCGCACTCAGGAAGGAGACATGTTCTGTGTCCCAGAGATGAACTGGCCGAAGCAGCGCCATTATCTCAATGAAACATGTTCTGGACTGACATGGGCTGAAAGGCTGCTCAGAGAGGAAGACGTGATTGGACCAAAAGAAGTGGTTGGATGAAAGCAGAACTGTTTAATCATAACGACCGTCATTACAATTAGAGGAAAAACTGGGATGCTTGTACCATCCTAACTGTAAAGAATGGAGGTGTTAGCATCATGTGGATACTGTTTTGCAGCAAGAGGAACTGGAAAAACAGATGGAATTATGAGGAAAAAACATTATGTAGAAATATTGAAGCAACATATAAAGACATCAACGAGGAAGTTAAATGGGCAATGACCAGTGGTTACAAAGGACAACAAAGTCAATGTTTTGGTGGCTATCACAAAGCCCTGATCTCAATCCTGTAGAGAACTTGTGGGTAGATCTGTAAAGTCATGTGAGAGTGAACCAGCCAGTTCTACTGGGAGCAATGGGCCAGAACCCCAGCTAATTATTGGGAGAACTTCTAGAAGGAAACCCAAAATGCTTGATCCAAGTCATGTAGTTCAAAGACAATGCTACCAAATACTGAGAAAATGTATATAAACTTCTGATTTCCACTCTATTTTGTTATACATCATCTTACATGATGCAGAATAATGTATCAAATTTTGTGTTTAATACAGATTTGTCTCATAATTTATCTATTTCTGCAGGTTTTGCTCCATGTGTCAGAGATATGTGTGCTCCCTGAACAAACACTGCACTAAATGCAATCTTTGTCCATCCAAGGTATCATGTTCTTCATAAATGTATTCTATAACTGTAATAGTTTCTTAAAATCCATAATAAAAACTCTATTTTCTGTTGGTGATTTGAGGATGGGCGTGAATGGAAGCACTGCTCAGCATGTGGGAAATGTGTGAAACCATGTAAGACATGAGATATTTGAATATTGTTTAGTTTTTTGTGCTGGATGTTGAGAATAAAAAAACTTTTTCCAAAATCAGCCTGGAGCCACTGCACGTCCTGTGGCCGCTGCGCTCTGCCGGACCATCCCTGTCGACAAGCTGATGGGGGAAACGGCTGCTTCAGCTGCGGCAGCTTGGAGCACCGACAGAAGGCCTGTCCTCTCAGAGATATGCAAAGGAAGAACAGGTAAGCCACGTCACATCCTGGGAGGGATTACATATTTTCCTTCACCTACAGAGAATTGAATATGGTGCGTCTTAACTTGTCTCAATATATCTGTGTGTGTACGTGTGTGTGTGCGTGTGTGTGTCTGTTTTCTTTCCTTCTTTTAGTTTTGGGCCTAAAGCCAAGAGTCTGGGCAAGAAAGCTTCCCATTATCTAGCAAAGCCTGGAGCCAAGAAGAAGTCTGGAGCAGCAAACGGAGCAAAGAAAAGAGCTGCTCATGCTCTGTGAACTGTCATCAGGTTATTTTTGTAACTTTTACGAAAATTAATTTTTTCCATATTTGTTAAAACTGACACCATGTCTTGACAAAATAATATGAGACAGATAATCTGTGAAAAGATTGGAATGCACCATTCCTGGTCAAAAACAATCTATCAGAGCCAGGAGGAGGGTCTTAAAGCTGTCAATCAACCTTGTGTACATGCTGCTCCATGTGCTAAAGGTGGAGAAACACCACCAACTTATTACTTGTTGTCATGCTAACTAGCATGCTAGCTAGCAGCGCTAAGACCCTCCTCCTGGCTCTGATTGGTTGTGTCTGATTAAGTGGTATAATTTTCCCGTTAGTACTGGAAACACTGGGAGAAGGCAGAGGAGCTCAATTTTTTTTCACACATGATCTGTCTTATGTTATACTGTTAAAAAGATAATTTTAACAAATATGTAAAAAAAAACCTGTTTTTTATTAAAGATGCATACTGAATTTTTACCAGCTTCAAACATTGTTAGAAACTAACTGTAGGTGTGGAAAAACATATAATTGACTCACCTGTACTTTTATAAAACAAAGATGAAACCAAGTAGGAAAAGCTGTGTAATTGGATATATTGTAGAACTCAAGACTCATTCTCATCTCATCAATCCATAGAACCTTTGAAAAATCTGTCTTCAGATCTGTCTTGGCCCAGTCTTGATGTTCCAACTTATGTGTCTTGTTCGATGGGGGTCGGGTTTCAGCGTTCCTTATCTTGGCCATGTCTCTGAACATCTTGTACTTCTGGGCACTGCAGGTAGGTTGCAGTTCTGGAAAATGACAGGACTGGAAGATAATGGGTTCCTGTAGCTTCACGTTTGATTCTTCTCAACTCTTTGGCAGTTAATTTACATCTTTTTTTCTCAACATGTTTCTTGTAAACCTGTTAGCTATTTGCAGCAAAACGTTTGATGGTTGTGTGATCACGCCCCAATATCTTAGTAATTTCAAGCGTGCTGCATCCCTCTGAAAGACCTTTTACAATTTTGGACTTTTCAGAGTCACTTAAATCTCTTTATTGGCCCATTTTGCCTGAGGAAAAGAAGCTAGAATGATCTAGAGTCGATGAATAGCTTCAGTTATTCAAGCTAGAAACTAGAGATCAGGCCTGAAATCAGGGAGTAGTGATGGACTCTGACCTGAACCTCCAGAACCACATTAAGACAGTCACAAAGTCGGCCTTCTATCACCTGAAGAACATCTCCAGGATTAGAGGACTGATGTCTCAGAAAAATCTAGAGCAACTCATCTATATCTTTAGTTGCATTGATTACTGCTGCAGCATCTTCACAGGTCTGCCTAAAAAAACCATCCTCAAGCTGCAGCTGATCCAGAACTCTGCTACTGGTGTTCTCACTAATACCAGGAAAGTAGATCACATTACCCAGTACCAAAATCCTCCCACGGGCTTTGTGTAGCTCAGAGACTAAACTTCAAAATGCTGTTGTTAATTTATAAATCTGCTGTTGTATGAACCTTTCCAGACTAAGAACAAGACTGATCTCATCAAAATAAGAAGCTCACAAAATAATAATAAAACTAGAATCAACCTAAACTCCAAAACAAAGTAAGATCCAACAGACCATATAAAACATGAAAAATAGCAGGTTCCAGATAAAGTCAAAATCACTGCTAGTAACTGGCAGATTATTTCATTTTAAATTCTTTAAATTTGTTTTAAATTCTTTTACTTCCCCTTCAGCTATTCACATGGTGTTTTACTTCAGCACACTGAATTTCATTTGAATGTCCTGCCATAAAGAGCTAGAACTGAAACTACTTTAAAATACCTATTTTCAGTTGTTTTTGATGCCCCTTGTGATCAAGAACAATTAAAATGAATTACTTCATTTGAAACTATGATGTTAAATACTTTGAGCAACTTTTAGATTCATTGTGAATAATGGAAAAAGTCCTTGCATTATAAAAGGAAAGGGTCACCAGATTGGAGGAAAAATCTAATTAGAAAAAAATCTAGCAGAGGAAACTCACAAAAGATGAGACATAAGGCCACTAAAGCAAATAATTGCTACACAAAGGTGGATGATTTAATGAATACTGGTGGATTCTAGTGAATATTGGGTCCTATTCAGATACCTTGTTGAAGTTAATCTAATGTTTTAGTTGGAAAACTCCGTTTTAACTTGCAGTAACAATAGCACCCAAGATTGTATCACACTTCAAAAACACAAAATCTTACCAAGTATTTTTGTCTACTTTCTAAGGCAAGTATCTCAGTAGTCTTGAAATAAGACAAAACTAACTTATAATGATCTTTTCAGCAAGCTTGTTTTTATTCAACAATTCCTTAATATTGATCAAAATGACTAGTTCCACTTATAACAAATATTATTTCACTTATAACAAGACATTTTTCCCATGTTCTAAGTGAAATAATCTGACAGACACTAGTACTTTTTCATCAGTATTAAGGAATTGACTACGTAAAACCAGCTCCTACGTCTTGCTGAAAAGTTAACTGTAAGCTCGTTTTGCCTTATTTCAAGTGTGCCGACATATTTGCACTAGAAACCAAAAAAACCTAAAAAAAAAATATTCTGTTTTTGCAGTTTAATACACATACTTACTCACCAGTAAGTGAGTAAGTATGTGTATTACTTACACATACTTAAGTAATACACATACTTAATAGAGCTGTGATCATTACTGTCATCAGTAATGATCACAGCTCTCCAGTCTCCAGTTTTCTTGACAGTAGCTCTCTTTTTGTCTGAACTACAGTTTGTGCTTCAATGTTACCATTCAGCTCAAGCACAGGTGAAAAAGCTGAATAAAGCTGTTATACAATGTAAAAACTGTTTGGTTATGTTGGGTTTCATTGTCCTTTAATAACAACCTGCCCGTTTAGACACCAGACTGAAGGTTTTTCTTAGAAAACCACCTCAGACTGAAGAAATTTGTCATAAATGTAATCTGTGTATTTGTTGTGCTTTTATCTATATTCTTTTCAAAGAAATTTATTGTTCAATAAGTGTCACTACTAAATGATTTAAATGTTTAAGGCAGTCTTTAATAACAAATACCAGTAAGTTGAACATAAGTGAGAATTTCTGTCAGATTTATGTTTCTAAACCCTTTTTAAATGTACAGGAAAAATGTTTTTGAGGTCACAAAAATTAAACTGTTTATTGTACATATTTTCAAACTGTTACAGATTAATATTAGCTGCTGTTGTAAATCAGTAAAGCTGTTCCTATACAGGTGAAGACAAATCCTGTTCTTGTACATGTTTTGCAGAAAGTGCCATGTTTACTCCTCAGGTTTGCTTTCTGTCTTTTCTCAGAGACTTCTGTTTAGTTGGTGGGGACAGGAAGAATGCTTCAAGTTAGGTGGGCCAGCATCCCAGACCAGCTTTACACTCATTGACTTCTACTGGCTCAGGCACAATAAAGCTGTCAGTGACAATAAAATACAAAAGGTGTTGAAAAACTGTCCCCAGCCTGGTCCTGGTGAAAGGCTCTTCATCAGGAGACTCTCTATCTATACAAAACTATATCATAAAATTAAATGAGATTGATCCAGAAACCTGCATGAACCCAGCGTAAAAAGGAAAATAAACATTTTTACAAACATTTTAAACCACATTTTATGTTACGTTTCACTGTAACTTTGCCGACCCCCCTAATTTTGGTCTTAAGAAATTTTCCTGCTTATGGTCCCTCCTCCCAATAATGAGATGGGATCTACGCCCTTGTGTATGGGTGTAGATCCATACACCCTTATATGGGTGTTAGCATATCACCCAGTCCTGGGTGATATGCTAACACCAAGACTGTTAGATCTAGGCCTAGATTTCTGACCTAGCAGTTTTTACATTGCAGTGTCCTGACAACATCATTTAAATCAGACCTATCTTCACTCATGTATGGTCCTGTTGACGAAGTTTTCATCCAGGGCAACAAGATCGACTTACAATGTATTTCAGTGCAGTTCCAGGTTTTTTCTACTGCTTCAGAAACTCAACACTTTTTTATGGTTGTTCTGACATGGAAACATGAACCAATGATTAGCAAGGCTATTGAAAATAAGAAATCTATTTCTTATACATTACAAAAAAACACCCATATTTTTGGTAATAGAATAAAATAGATGTGGTTCAGGAGTTTCTGTCTTACTGTGTCTCAACAAAAGTTGTTTTATAAAGAAAGAAAGATGATAGCCTGAGATAAAATATGTGATTGGCATTTCCTTTCAGAGGTTCTTTGAATCCCTGAACCCTCTGTGGCCTTTTGAAGCAGGTGTTGTTTGCTGTGCTTTAATCTACTGCTATCAAAGACAGAATACTGCAGGTGGTCACTCTCTGAACAAGCACACCTGCCAAATATACAAAAGCTGGAGTGGTTGTATTTGAAACGTGAACAGTGTGCAAACACACAAACTCACCATCACTAAATTTTACTTCAAACAAAACATCCAAACACATGGATGTTATTTTAATAACAAAGCTAGTTATGATAATGTTCAGCATTGGTCATTGGTATGTGTGTTTGTGTCAGTGTGTGAAGCTAGGCTAACCTCCAAGCAAACTACCAGATGATGCCAAAAGAATGACAAGATGTAGGCAACTTAGAGTAAGACCATGGCTACTAAAGGGACAGAAAATGGACCTGATCTTGTGAGGTTAATGAAGTATTGAAGAATGTAGTTTTGTTGTATTAACTGCTTCACCTCCCAGTCAAATGGTAATGCTGCACACTGCTATTGTCTTTCAGTCCACAGGTTGTCAGCCCAATCTCTTCAAGGGTAGAAAGTCAATAGAATAGGATTGTACTATGTGACACTGTGTGGAATCTTCTGAAACACAACTGTTTATGATTTGCCACTAAAAATGGTAATACATCCCCCATTTTGTAAAGAGAGGAGCAAATAGTTGTACCGCTATATAAATATGCTGTAATTTCTGCAAATATAGGAGAAATCTTGCATCTTGTGTGTACTGTTGTGTGTGGTTTTTCCCTCTGCAGAGATATTTTATGAAACAGTCAAGGACTGTAGACGCATAATTTGAGATTTGCACTCTGGCTTAGGGATCAGAGGTTATCA